TGTCAGGATCTATGGAGGAGCTGTGCAGATTCTAGGTACAGGAGAGTCACAGTGTGGTCACTGGAGGGAGAGAGGTCCAAGCAGTTGGGTACATCAGCTCTGCCACAAAGCCCTGCACATATGTATGTGTCTCAGCCCTTTCTGTCCTTCCATACTTAATCTCAGGAATGGTAGTGTTTTCCTTATGTTTCCAGATAGTTATTGCACATGAGTAGGCAAACTGTCCTAGACTTTCCAACATGATACCTCCCTGAATGGAGAAGTTGGCCTCTTTACTCACAATGATTGTGTTTCTTGATTAATTTTTCTTGTTTCATTGCATGAGCTGATATTTTATATTAATTCATTAATTTGTGTGTGTGTGTGTTTCCCTGTGCATGTATACTACAGAGCAGAGCTTGCAGATGTCCAAGGACCATTTGTGGAAGTAAGTTCCCTCTTCCTACCATGTGGGCTCAAGGGATGGAACTCAGGCCCGCAGGCTTGGTGACAAGCACCTTTCCACACTGAGACCTCTCTTTGGCCCTTGGCTGGTCTTTTTGAGGTCTTGTAGTGGTAGCAGCCTTGCACTTCTTGTTCCTGCATCAAATTCTACCAATTGAGCATTTATATCTAAACATAAAGTGTGCTTGGGTGCAATTTAAACTGAATATTAAAGTGCCCTCAAATGGTACAGCTTGTGCTATAACAACTCGGTTTGACTAGACATATTTCTTAATTTGTTCGCTGATATGTAAACACACATCAGAATGAGCCAGGGTCACACTGGGTAGATTCCGTCTATGAAGCCCCATGACAGTCTGTCCATCCATCATTCATGGAAAGGGTTTATTTATTTGCTCGCCATGAAGGAGACAGTTGACAAGATACCCAAAAAAAGCTTCTTGTCTGGGTCTCTGATATCAGCATGAAAACTTCAAAGATAGGTCTTCACCACTAGCTCACGCTGGTCTTGAACTCATGATTGATTCTTCTGCTCCTACCTTCTGAGTACTGGGGTGTGTATCAGCCTATCTGGTTGACTCCTACGGTCTACAGGCTATGCCACCAACAGGAATCAGGGAGATGAGAGAGAATATATAGGGGTGGAGAGATGACCCTGCGACTGGGCTAGAACCCAGCAGGCCCTCTGTCTAGCTGGCCTCCCCTCTTGCCTACTGTTCACGTATCCTCCAGGAAGACTCCTCAGACAGGACTTGCTCCAGAACAAGGTCAGCATCCTTCTACTGCTTAGTTTAGTTAATATGCTCTGGGCTCCTGTGTGCAGATAAAGTGCCAGGAAGTGTTCCAGAACAAGCATGGAACCCATGAGCCCATGAAAAGTGAGTGGAAGGCACTAAGTGTCTGTGTGGATATGGGGGGGGGGGGGGCAGCCGCAGGGGAGGTGGGGAATTCTCAGCTAGAAGCTGAGAGAGGAATGCACTTCCAAATGTGTGGACATGAAGGAAGTGGAGCTTTTTCTACAGTGGAACGAGGTTTAGAATGTTGCAGAAGTACAAGAGATCTGGCAGGGACCCGGAGGGGAGAGGAGTGCTGCCTGAAGCTGCGTTTTCCAGGGCATGCCTGCCTTAGGTTCTTCACGCCACCTGCCTTCCCAGCACTAGCCCATGTATCGCCTCCCTTCTCAGTCTTCAGCATCTCTCCTGCTAGACAAATGACTGGGCTCAGGTCATTCCCCCAAAGCAGCCTGGAGACATCCTGCCCTCACAGCCTGAAACCCCAACCCGGGGCTTCTTCAGGAGCTGTTGAGTGCCTGAGCATTGGGCTAATGTTAGTCACAATATGTTGATAATGGTTTTCCCAGGGCCAAAAAAGTGGTTCTGTCTGGAATCTCCACAACATGACATCTTGGCTTCTAGTTCTCTGTTTGTATCCATTTCAGAGAAACCCTAACATGAGGGATGTGAGTACTGGGATGGGCAGATGCTTGCTCCAGGGAGTGCAAGAAAAAACGACCCATTATCAGATGGGAGGCAGGGTCTCTTTCTGCAAGGTCACCCAGCCCTTCCTTCTGCGTCATCACACGTGCAGCCAGTGTGCAGATCCAAACCAGGGGCTCTGAAACTCAGCATCACAAAGGTCGATGTCACCTTTCCCACACTGAAGGAAAATGAAACAAAAAGCAAGGCTCTGGGTGATGTGCACAGCTGCAGACCCACCAGAAATAAGAATTCCTGAAGAGAGCGGGGCAGTGGTGGCGCATGCCTTTAATCCCAGCACTTGGGAGGCAGAGGCAGGTGGATCTCTGTGAGTTCGAGGCCAGCCTATTCTACAAGAGCTAGTTCCAGGACAGGCACAAAAGCTACAGCGAAACTCTGTCTTAAAAAAAAAAAAAAAACAACCAACCAAACAAACAAAACCCTTAAAAAACCTGAAGAGGCTCTGACTCTGGTGAGTGGCAGTTTAGGGATCTTTGAAAGCACACAGTAGGCTTAGAGACAGACAGGGCGAGGGTTGTGTGTGTCTGAGATACTGCCTCAGGTTCCCTCTGGTGTTTCCCCATCCTAGATCTTTCCATGTGAGGAATTAGACTCAAGGATACGGCTTGAGCTCAGGACAAGGCTGCACTGGATACAGGGACACAAAGAAACTGGGGCACAGGCAGGATCCTGTCCTTAAAATGCCAAACTGAAGGCTCCAAGCAGCAAGCAGAGCAGGGTATGTATGTGGGGTAGGCAGTGGGGTGTGGGCTTGGGTGAGTCAGGGCACATACTGGGGCGATGGGCTGGCGGGAACTGGAATCCCGAGAGAAGCCTTTATTGAACATAACAATGGTGTTGGCATTTGAGCCTTCCGTGGGGACAGTGGAAAGTGCAAGGCTGATTTCTGCCCCTTTGCTTCCCTTACTGTCTGCGTGCAGCACAGGCTGCAGGAGTAAGGTTTGGGGACAGGCAGGCACTTGGGGGTGGAGTCTGGTAGAAGCGGGGTGTCTTGGCAAGCATCTTCTAGTCGGGTAATTGGGGCCAAGAGTCCATTTTTCATTTCTGTGACATGCACTCTCTGGGGTCAGGATTGAGGGAATTAGGGAAAGGAGGAGCCATGACCAGTTGCTTGCAAGGAACCCAAAGACTATCAGAGTAGTCTAAGGATTCCTCCCAAGAAATTAGGCTGTGGGATCCTGCCAGGCTTCTTTTCTTTCTGTCTAAGGGATTACTAATTGATTCTTGCTTTCTTCATTCAACTAATACGTTATCAGCTCTTATGTCTAAGGAAGCAGAGGAGGGCTGGAATTTGCAGCTGGCAGCTCTTACTCCACCTGTGTCCTGAAATCGGTCCCAACACAACTTTTTTTTTAAACTCAAGTGCTTAAAGACTTCTTTGAAATGTGGGCCAGTTATCCAAGGAGGGGGAAAAACATATCCAGATCAAATATTTAACTTTGCTCTTGGTATGTTGAACTCACCTGTCTATGGTAATCTCTCAGGCATATCCTGCAAAACTAACTTCTTTGTGTCTCCATTCTTTCTGAGGAGGATGCAGATTGGGACCTGCCTAATGTTACAGTTCTGAACCACAGCCGGGGCCCGCAGGCTGCATCTCTGTCCTCACCCTGAACCTCTTGGAATTGTGGATTTCGAGGACAATAAACTCTTTTTCCAAAACACTGAAAAACACAGACCCTTCTCCCCCAATAGCTTGCTAAGGCGTACGGTTTGTTCAGGGTGGAGCGCTGTCAGTAAATTATTACGGTTTTTGGAGATTATTAGCCATGGTTCCCCTAGCAGATTGGACACGTTGCCATGGCGCGGAGCTGGTGGCCTGAGACTCCCTCTGGACTGAAGCAAAAGCCTGTCACTGCGGATAATAAAATCCCAGGGCGGGCGGCTCCAGAGAGTTTCACCTGTAGGATTCTGGCAGTTGTCTCTCCTTCCCTACCAGCTCCGCCCGGTCTCCTCCCCAGGGCGGAAGGTGGCCGAGCCCTGGTGGCCTGGGAGGCAGACGCAGGCGTGTTGCCCAGGTACAAAGTTTTCAAGTGCGCTGCTAACGTTTTCCGAGCTCGGTTTCTCAATCCTATTAACATGCTCCGGATGGAGCGGGTTGAGGTCGGGATAATCTTGCGGAAAGGGGTTGGGCTCTAGCAGCCAGAGAGACTTTCTGGTCTGGGAGGGGGTGGCGCGCGAGCCACGCAGCCTGGGGCGGGGCGCCCGGCGTCTCCCTGGGTTGCTACAACAGACCCCACACTCCGCGCCAAGGCGGCCGCCGCGAGACCCGGACAGGTGCGGCAGGGGCGGGTCGCCCTCGAGAGGTCCCCTCCCCCACGCTGCCAGCGCCCGCGGTCGCATTTCGCCCCCGGAGCCCCAGGTTGCCCGTGGCGCAGGACGGGGCGGGGCTGTGATCTGCACCCCCAAAACCTGCCCTGCTGGGCGCGGTGCCGCTTGGTCCTCCCGGGCCGAGTGGGTTTCGCGATCTCAATTCCTCCCCGGGCTTGGGCCCGCCCCCGGCGCGGGAGCCAGGTGAGACGCACGGGCGGGGAAGAATAGTGGGTGGCCCTCGGGCACCTAACCGGCTCCTGAGGCATGTGTGTGCCTCTGCATTCCAGAAGCAACGGCGACTGGGTCACAGCGGCCCCGTACCCATAGAGGCTGAGGATGAGAGCTGGAAAAGAGGGATGCGCGCATGCAGGTGGGGCTTGCGTCTTTTAGGGGACACCCCTCCCCCAAAGACCCCTTCCCCTGGAAAGGGGCCAGTCACAAGAGCTTTTGAAGCGACCTGAGTGCAGAGCTCAGTAGTTCTTTGTCCCCTGAGCCTGTGAACTCTGCTTCTTCCAGCGCTTCTGATTCCTTCATCGGGTTAGCGCAGGTAGATCAGGCTCTGTTCCGTGCCGGGATCTCCTGTCCTGTAGATCGCCTATTTCCCGGGGACCTGAGCCATCAAAGCCCAGAAGAGGATCCGCCGCAGGGCCGCCAGGGGGCGCGCTGGGCGGGGACCCGCGCCCTGATCTCTCTGTCCCTTGAGACTTCCTGCGCGCGCTCTCTCTCAGACTCTGCCCAGTGCCGGCTTCGCGCACTATTGCCGCGGCAGCAGCTGGCTCCAGGAGGTCGGGGGTCGCACGGAGCCGCCGCCGGGTGCCCGACCCCTACCCGCCACACTCCCAAGTAGGGGTGTGGGGACCCGGCGGGCGCAGGGGAGCGGCCCCCACCTCTATCCGCCGCTGTCCGTGAATTATGCAGGAGGTTGGCACCGGTGTTCGAGTTGCTCAAGTTTCCCTGGCAACTTTCATCCAGGCATCCCTTCTCCGGCGCAGCGGGCAGCTCCACCCGTGCGCCCGGGGCCCTAGGCTCCTTCCCCGGGCAGCCTGGCCGCGCAGCCCTGGGTACCCGGTTACTGTAGTTCTCTGGAAGACTCAGACCCAGACCACGCCCTCGCCCCCTGGACTGGGGCCTCTGAGGAAGCCAAGGTGCGACCCAGTGATATCACCTGGTAAACGTCGTCTTGGGTGAAGAGGGTACATGCAGGACCTGTGCGTGCAGGATTTCGTTGCCAGGATGCTGGGGTCGCGCCGGACCTGGCTTCCCGAGTCCAAGGGTGTGGGGCATCCGTTGGACCTCATCGCTGGGGTGTGTAGGGTGAGTCGCCCTTAACCTCTCTGACTGGTAGCAGAGGGCTAGGGTATCCCGTGAAACTTGTCTTCCTGGGGAGTACCAGGGTCGTCTTGAAAACTACAGTTGGGGCGCAGAGGGGGTGGCTTCCCTGGAACTCCTCACCGATTTGCAGAAAGTACAAGGGGTTGCAGCATGAAACATTCTAGTTGTTCAGCTCCAAGTGAGTGGGGCGCTGCAAGGTTCTGGGTTGGGGGGGGGGCGGTGGTGTGCCCAGTGGGCTAGAGACTAATTTTTGATGACTGCTTTTAAAGGGGACGTGGGTTGTTCCATATGAGAAGATACTTTGGGCCCATGGGTTTGGGGGTCTCAGGGGCCTCCCCGATGGCTTATGGATGGCATGCAGGCAGTCCTGGAAGCCTTCAGAGGACATCTGAAAATAGTGGTTTCCGCGTGGAAATTCGAGGTAGTAAATTAGGTAGATGTGTGACCTCTTTTTCGATCTGAAGTTTGAACGTTAATGAGGTCAACCAGCTAATTAAGCTGAGCTCTGGCACGCAAAGACAATTTGGGAAGTTTGGGTTGGAGAATGGCTTGTGACCTCTAACTGGGATTGGACCCTGCACCTTGCTGACCTGGCTAGGGGAGGTTCAGCAGGTGGGTCGACCTCAGCTGCAGGCTCAGCCTTGACACCGGTCCCACTTCAGGTCTGGCACCCTGCAGGCAGATAGTGTGTGGCATGTCCACAGGGGGCCCTGGAGGTGCCTTGGTTGGAAACATTCCAGCCACACGTAGGTGACACCAGGCTGAATCTGGTGGAGACTGGAACCTTCCGTTGCTGCAGTTGAAGTGAGCCGAGAAAGGTCTTGGGCATTGATGGATTGGGGGAGAGGAGTGGTAGCCTGGAAAGGAGGGTGGGACCAGGGTCATTGTTGCTTAAAGTGGGTAAGAAGAATAAAGCTGGCTTCATAGTGCTTGGAAGTCACAGCTTCCGGGGCGAAGTGTTTTCAAGGAAACGGAACCCATTGCTTGTACCAGGGATTTTTCCAAGAAGGAGGAACTAAGTGGCCAATTGGGCGTTTTTTTTGGGCCTCTGTGTCAGGATGTGCAGCTGAAGATGGCTCCCAGGGAAACTGACCACAGTCCTTGGCAGATGGGAATCTCTGCCTAGTATTGCAAGTGCCTTTTAAGAAAGCCTTGTTTGTAGTTCAAGATACTTATTCATTTATTTAACCCACCTCAAGGTTGCATGCATAGCTAAGATCTTGGGATGGCTACTTGGTCCAGGCCTGGAGACTGAGGTGCTGTCTAGAACACTGGGTCCTCGGGGTGGGGCACTGAGATGTGAGAGGCTTCAGCTAGACCCTGTGAAGGAGTTGGGGATAGCGTGGGGTTTTATTTTCCCTCGTGAGGAAGAAAGTGTGACAGAAGAACATGCTGGGAGTTGTCCCATCTGTAAGAAATCAGCCCTAGAGATGGAGCCTTATAGGAAGCCAGGTCTATGACATAATGAGCTTTGTTTCTTAATACTTAAGAGTCCTAAATGGCAGGGTCCTAGGGTCTCTACAGGCTCTGGGGGAGTAATGGGAGCTTGCCCAAATGGCTATGCGTGGGATGGAACTGCTGTGAGAGCCGAGGACCCCTGCAGAAGTCATGCATGGGTCGCCAAACAAGGCTATGGCCTCCCTACTGACCCCTTTCCTGATTCTACAGGACTTGTAGCCTCAATGGTTCCTTATGGTGGCAGGGAGGTCTGGCCATAGCAGCCTGTTCAAATATGCATTTTGACCTCATCAGGAGCCTCACCCATGGCTGTGACCCCCACGGGAGGTAATGTTGAGGAGGCTCATGCATGGTAATTTCGTGACCCTCTTGGTCAGGATAGAAGTGGGGACTTACATACAGACCTGTCTTTCATCACCTGGGCGCTGGTATGTGGATATGGGAAGAATGTAAACAGATCGAGAGATGGGCTAGGAGCCTGGTATCCCCTCCCTCCTAAACTTGTGACCTTTGGGCTGGGCACAGAAGCTAACAAGCCCACCCGAAAGAGAAGTCTGCCATCTTCTGTGGGGCCGAGATGAGCTGGGCATATTTGGCCCTGTTTTTTTCTGTATTTCATTAAAATATGCTGAACAGATCTTATCTAGGGGTCTGATGCTGCGTAGTATCAGGCCTGAAGTTGGATGAAGGTTGCTACTCTTGGGGCTTCTAGGCTGGTGGGGATACATGTGATTGGTTACATGTATAGGATGGTTCCATGTGACTGCTGGGTGCTATAGAGCACAGAGAGGCCCCTGATTGTCACGAAGGGGACAGAACAAACCACCTAGAGGAATGGAACGAGCAGGGCCTTTGCACAGATGATGACCACCATACGCATGACCTCGACCCTGGGTGTATCGTGCACTCAGCAGCTGCAGAGCGGGCAGAATGAGCTAGCGTTCTGCACTCTGTCCATCCCTAGGCATCTTCATTATGCCTTTGCTGTTCTCATGTCCCAGAACTCCTGGGGAGGACAGGGGGTGGGCTGACTTCTGTTCCTCCTTCCAGGCCAGTAGCCTGAGAGCTCTGGAGTGGTGCCACTTGCCCCTGTTCCCACATGTAGTGAATGAGGAGCCTCAATTGTACCTTGGGTAGCCCCAGGGATCTCAGCCCACATTCTCACACACCCTACCAGAGCTAAACACACATCACCCAGCGGGAAGTGCCACCAGAATGTGGCAGAAAATTAGTTGTCTTGTTCCTGCGGTGTGAAATGGAGTTAGTGGGCGAAAGCCGAAGTTTCTGAGCAGACTACTTGATAGGATGTGCATTTTATCATTGTTGAAAGCTGCTTCTTGGAGCCATTCGACATGGCTCACGGGGTCCACAGGGGCTCTGGTAGGAACATTGAGGTTGTCTGAGTAACAGGTTGACCCTGATGGGAGCCTTCCTCCTGATCAAGGGGATGTCCTAGTCTTAGCCAGAAAGGGGTGCGGCGTGTCCCTTCTGGTTCCCAGAGCCTACTCAGGGTCAGCAATAGGGTCTCTCTGATGCCTGGTCCTGGGGACAGGCCAGCTGCAGCATGCAACGTTTCCTGGGAGATTAAGCTCTTAAAAGCCTTCAGGAGAAGTGAGGTCCATGGGTTGGAGCAGTAAGCAGAGAGCTCTCTGATTGGCTGCCAGATGTCTCCTCTAAGCAGAGGACTAATACAGAAGGATGCTGTCTAAAATCCGCAGCGCTTGGGTGTGCTTGTCCCTGGCCCAGTCCCTGGGCTCAGTGGGGCTTTGGGGTTGACAGGCACAGACTGGGTCTGCGGGTTCCACATGATGAACTACAGGGGTGCTTGGTCTGTGGATTCCAGGTGGGCTGCAGGGGTGCAGGAGGGCTCCTGTCCCCTTTCTGCTGCTGAGCACCGTGGGATTCTGCCTATAGAAGTTCCACGAATCCACTTGGAGAAGCTTCAAGTTTTGAGTAGGGAAGATGGATGGAGCAAGTCCCGAGATGCTTAGCTTAGAAGCCTCCACCTGGGAGACCCTCCCTCTCCAGATGCATCCATTAGGGGTATAATTTTTGCACACTTACAGTGGCCCTGCTGGGCTGGAGCCAGGTCCCTCTAAAAAGCATTCTTTCCTCTCTAAAAGCATCACTTTTAAACCTAGATATTGTGTCTACCCATTTCCGGACTGTTTTCTTTTCAGGCATTCCTACACCTGGCAAAGCTAAAGCAAATCGCATGGTAAACCTGTTAAAGCCTGCTCACATTCTGCTGTTAACCCCTGGTTAGACTTCTCACGCGCTTGTGAGTCTATCGAAATCCTCCTAGGTTTGCGTGTTTTCATTGGATGCCGGTTTGTCTTTAGTGTTGTAGTTATTGATAATTGGGAATGATTGTTGGCTAACTCTTATAGCACTGGAGTTAATTATCATAGACCACCATGGCTCGATCCCCCACTCTATCTACTAAGACAAATGGATGAGATGGATGAGGGTTTTTTTTTTTTTTTTTTTTTTTTTTTTTTTCTGATTTTTTTTTTTTTTTTTTTTTTTTTTTTTTTTTTGAGACAGGATTTCTCTGTGTATCTTTGGAGCCTGTCTTGGCACTCCATCTGTAGACCAGGCTGGCCTCGAACTCACAGAGATCTGCCTGCCTTTGCCTCCTGAGTGCTGAGATTAAAGACATGCACCACCATGGCCCAGCTTCAAATGGATGAGTTTTATGGAGCTACTGGTGTTCCTTAAAAAGCTGGAAGGTGCTGGGGCTTTGCACTTAGGTCCTTGATGGCGCTGAGCAAGTGTTTCACTGATCCTAGCTCCTCCATCACTTGAGGATTCTAGGTGGGTGCCCTTTCACTGAGCCATGCCCCAGCCCCTCACTAGAGATTCTAGGCTGGTGCTCTCCCACTGAGCTACACCCTCTTTTCATTGGGGGATTCTAGACTGGCACTCTCCCACTGAGTCATGTCATTATCCCATTACTGTGGGATTCTAGGCAGGTGGTCTCCCACTGAACCATGCCTAAGCCCCTAACTGGGAATTATAGCAACCACTCTCCCATGGAGTCACGTCCCAGTCCTGTTCCCTTTATTCTTTATGTGGCTGTTTCCTCCCAAGAATTTTCATTCAATGTAATATGTTTTATGCTCCTGGGTCTTTTATTAATTAACCTAGCAACTCCTCAGCAAGAAAAAAAAGTATATAAATGGGTGTTTTAAAGATTTCCTATGACCTTAGTCACCGTCTGTGAAAGTCACTTGTAGATTGAGACAGCAGGACCATGTCTGCTAATCACGGCAGACCGGGTGCTGTTAAGATATGATGGGTATTTAGACATGGAGAGGAAGAGGAAACCACTGTGAGCGGCAGTGTGCTCTCC